CTTTTAGAAATCAAGATTTTTGCAAGTTTTCATACCAGTTATTTCCTCAGTCTTAAGTATCACTTCCACTCGCTTTTTTAGCAGCATGTTCCAGTATATTTCTACTACTATGCTGCTTAGGACTGGGATTTCTTGAAGCTCATAAGCTGTAGATGCCAAGTTATGATTGTTGTCATTATGTTATAGACATTAATTGTGACAAAATAGTTGAAATTTATTTCCTGGAGCCCACTAATTGTGGGCTAGTTTCTTTTAACTGTCTTTTAGTCAGTGAAGGCGAAAGTCTATGATGAAATTGTACCTACCAAATACTACTTTTTGAAACTTATAATAAACATTATTTACAATTTGTTGTAGTTTAACCCAGCAGCCGAGAACTCAGCACTAGGCAGCCACTCGCTAACCCCTCCCCTTCCCTCCCAGCAGGATGGGGAGGAGAAATGGACAAAAGGGGAAACTCCTGGGTTGAGATAAAGACAGTTTAATAAGGCAACAAAATAAATAGTAATACTAGATAATAACAATTATAATAATGAATATGTAAAACAAACTGTATACCATATAATTTTTTCTCACTGCCCGATGACCTATTCACAGCCCCAAAAAAGGTTTGAGTTCCTGGCCAAGAGAGGTTTCAAAACTCCCAGAAAACTGAAACGCCAATCGCTTTCTTCCCCCTGGCCAGCCACCATTCATAAACTGAGCATGACGTCCATGGTATGGAATATTTCCACTGGCCAGCCTGGGCTGGCTGTCTGGCTGTGCTCCCTCCCAGCTCCTGCACACCTGCGCATTAGCTGAACATGGGAGACTGGATGAAGTCCTTGATTTCACAGCAACAACTGAAAACATCAGTGTTATCAGCATGCTTCTTCTACTAAATCCAAAATGCAGTGGCTACTGGGAGGAAGATTAACTCTATCCCACCTGACACCATCAGAAATTCCAAAAGAGAGTACAGAATTCTGTGCCTGTTGGTGGGGAGAAAGAAGAAAGCATGATAAATCTGAATAAAATCTGATCTCAGGGCATCTTAGCAGAGTTTCTAGTACATCAGTCAGCACGTGTGTATGTTATGCCTTTGCTGCTTAAGTGTTGCTTAACCTTATATCTGAGAAATTAGAAAAAAATTGTTCTCCCAGGACTGGGGAGTGTGCTAGAAAAGAATGTACAAAGAATAGGAAAATTATAATGTGATCAACTTAAAATTGTTCTGGAATTGTAGAGTAGTTAATGAACATAAATAGAAGACTCACCAGAGAGAAGCAATTAGATCTGACATTACAGACAAGGCTATATATTATGACAATTTGATGAGATTTCATATTTTTTTCCTCAAGTCATTAAAAATATTTAGATGGTTAATTGATTGAAGGTGATTTTTTTTTTTTTTAGTAATAGAGTAGTGAGCATGTTGCTCCAAGAATGAAACTGCTTCTATGAATGAGAAACTAGCATTTACATGAGAGGGATACAACAGCTTGTGCAAACACAGTAAAGAGATGGCAGAAAGCCCTTTTACTAGCTAAGTGTCCTGTGGCTAATTTTGTATCCACTAAGCAAAGTTTTTGTATCATTTGTCTAGTCATTTTTGTTAATTTTTTTCCTGTATATTTCTTTGGTGCCCTTTTCTTACTACTTTCATACAATTACCAGGCTTTGCCATCAACACAGTTACAATTCAGTTTGGAGAATAATTGAGTGATGATCTTGGTTAATATATTTGTTGTGGACAGGCATTTACACCTTGGATAATCCTAGGTAATCTATTAATCTGGCTCTCTCTCAAAGGTCTTGTGTTCTTCAGGCATAAAATACCATTTTATGCACAAATGAAGCAAAAATATTTTTTCCAAATCAGTATTAATACCATCATTAAGGACACCTTTTCATCATGAAGTGCTGGCATTGTATCTTGTCCAGTATCAAGCTGCTATGCAAGATAATTGGTAAAATATACTTTTTTTAACTACTGTTTGCTTCACTTTAATTTCTGCCCATGTTTCTCAGGTAGTTCTCCTGCATAACAGAACAGGATTACGTGTATTTTCCTTGTACCCAGGAAAAAAATGTCATAATTTTTAAATGGCTTGATATTTGGATGTTCTTATCATATGAATATTACCTAGGTTTATAATACAAATTAAGATAATTTTGGAGAATCCTTTTTTACCCAATGTCATTATCATAGACTTTTTTACAGTAGAGTCAGGCTAATTCATACTGCACTGGTTTAAAAACTTAGAATTTGTCCTTTCCTCCTGTATGTTTTAAGAAAGGGCTGTGTTTAAACACTTAAGGAGCCAGCACTTCTTGTTTCATCTTCTTGTTTGCTCGCAGTTTTTCCTATGGAACTGTTAGAGGTGGTGAATTCATTAGCCTTGGTTCTGTGTTCTGAAAACCAAGAAATTTTAAAAACAATTTTTAAATAATTTTTTTTTTAGCTGTAGCCTGCCAGTCTTTGTGAAGTCTCTGAAATCACTTGAGAATAAATGACATACAATACATTAAATTGTTGATGTTAAGAAGTCTTGGTAACATTGAAAAATACACTCTACAGAAGAAACCATAATAAATACAGTTGAGTTCCAGAGAAAAGGTTTACTTTAAAATGTTATGTTCTTGATACAGTGAAATTATGTATTATCCAGGTCTGCTAAATGTCTGGATTGCAGTTACTCATAGTACATCTCATAGTGATTCTTGCTAAAGGTACAAACAAACAAACTGGGTACAAATAGTAAAGAGACTGTAAAGATAAATAATAATAATAATAACGTTTATAATAATAAAGGTAATAAATACTTTCTCTTCACACAGCATCCTCCTGGAGAAACTAGCTGCACATGGCTTGGATGGGTGTATACTTTGCTGGCTAAAACACTGGCTGGGTGGCCAGAGAGTTGTGGTGAATGTAGTTAAATCCAGTTGGTGGCCAGTCACAAGTGGTGTACCTCAGGGCTCAGTTTGGGGTTGAGTCTTGTTTAATATCTTTATGAATGATCTGGGTGAGGGGATTGAGTGCTCCCTCAGTAACTCTGCAGATGACACCAAAATGGGTGGGAGTGTTGATCTACTCGAGGGTAGGAAGGATCTACAGAGGGATCTGGACAGACTGGATCGATGGGCCGAAGTCAATCATGTGAGGTTCAACTAGGCAAAGTGCTGGGTCCTGCACTTGGGTCATAACAACCCTATGCAAGCTCACTAGGAGAAGGACGTTCAGGTGCTGGAGTGTGTGCAGAGAAAGGCAGTGAAGCTGGTGAAGGGTCTGGAGAACAAGTCATATGAGGAACGCCTGAGGGAACTGGGATTGTTTAGTCTGGAGAAGGAGAAGCTGAGGGGAGACCTTATTGCTCTGTACGACTACCTGAAAATAGGTTGTAGTGAGGTGGGTGTTGACCTCTTCTCCCAAGTAACTAGCAATAGTATGAGAGGAAATGGCCTTAAGTTGTGCCAGGGGAGGTTTAGATTGGATATTGGGAAAAATTTTTCACTGAAAGAATTGTGAAGCATTGGAACAGGCTGCCCAGGGAAGTGGTGGAGACACTGTCCCTGGAGGTGTTCAATAAGATGTTGCACTTTGGGACATGGTATAGCAGGCATGGTGGTGTTGGGTTGACGGTTAGACTTGATGATCTTAGGGGTCTTTTCCAACCTTAATGATTCTATGATTCTATGATTAGTGGGTAAATTGTTCCCTTTTGTCAATCCAGCTGTGCTGACGTTAGTGCTGTAACTTTGTGAGACTTCTGTGATGTTGCATTGTGACACAGTCAAAAGTATTCCACTTGGCTCCCACAGAAGACATATCTTAGAGCAAGTAATACACCTGTACTTAAGTGGAAGAGGGATTGAGAGCAAGTATTCAGAAAAAGTAGTAGGTGGTTAGATGACTCTCACTATGTTCCTTCAGTTTTTTGATTTGAAGTTTTTGGGAGCCTTCTGCTCTCATTAACTTCTATGACTTTCTTTTCCTTTGTTTTATCGTTCGTAGGAATTGTGGTTTCAGTTTTTCAGTGTATTACCTTCTTTCTAGAATGGAGTCTGAAAGGAGGTCAGAAAGGGCTAAACTAGCCATGTTATGGAAACTTTCCCCCTGTTTCTGCTTCTCATCTTCTCCTGTTTTCCTTGTAACATTGGTTTCTTACCGTAATACGGTTAGGTTGAAGGGAAAAGAACTTGATGGTTTCGTTTTGGAGAATGAAAGATTGGGTAGCTCTTGTGAACTGTAGCTGAGGTGCTTTCATATCCTGGTTAGAGGGTCAGATACCAGCGTTTAATAACACTGAAACCTCATCTTTAATTTTTCACTTTTCCCCTCATTTGTCTCCATGTTGTCATCAGCCAGATTATATAATTGTTTAATAAACTAAGTAGGGTTTGTGGACTGGTACATAAATAATCATGAAAGTTGAAACATAGAAAGCAACCTTTGTTCACAGAAATCAAGACAAGGTATAAAGAAGCAAAGAAGCCCCGCCTGCTCTAGTTGTACCAGATAGCTCTGTGAAAGTAGCTACACTTTCTAGCCTTTTCTAGATAGAAAATTGTGTTTGTTTACTGTACAGATGGTCTGGAAATGCTAGGTAAACCTAATCCTTGTGGAATCCTTCCAAATTTATGTAGTTCAGTTGTTTTTCATGTGTATGGAGGTTGCAGAATGATTATTAATGTAAAAAAACCACTCCTCAACAATAAAATACTTCTGTAAAGTGTAAGAAAAGTATGCCTAAATTTACAGCTCCAAAGTTATTTTATATTATTTCACTTCTTAAAAAACAAACAAAAAAACCCCAACCCATGCAACCGCTCCCCCTGAAAATAAGTTGAAAAACTTAGGAAGTACATTTGATTTTTATACATATCTCTCAGAACCTGGCAATGACACGATAAAAATACTAAAACAAGTTTAAACAGTATTATGTATTGTAAAATATTACAAAGATTTCCTGCTTCTTTTAATGTAAAGATATACCCAGTTTTGCTTATCTTATTAGGGTTCTTCCCAAGCAGCTGTCAAGGATGTGATGCTTTTCTTCGCCATAAGATGACTCTGATTTCTCCATCAATATTGAAAAAGTATGGAATTCCTTTTGACAAGGTAAATTAGTGCTTATTTTTAAACTGTGCATTCATGCATTGAATTAGATTGTGTTTACTATAAGGATTGTTTGTAGTAAAGGTGAGGCAAAATTATTACTAATTTTTTAGGCACTGACTCCATGAAAAGATGAAAACAAATGCTTGTAGTGTTAGGGCTTTTACATTCTGGTTGGAATTTTCTAGCAGAAGACACTTGGCAGACATCATAATCTTTATGCTATAAGTGTCTGTGATTTTTAAGACATTGCCAATATTTTTTTATTTCTGTTTTATTTCCGTGCAAGCTTACATGTGATTTTCTCTTGACTGAAACACTTCTTAAATAGCTGTGTTAAGTTGCATAGCTAATATTTCAAAATAAATGTTTCATTTCCTTTTCTCTGTATATTGTTTTTCTGATGCAATTAAAAGTAACTTTTTTCAGTATTATGATCTAAAAAATTTCAGGTGGAGTAAAACCAAAAGAACTGTTATTTAATTTAAAATATCTTTTAAAAGCACTAACATATTAGAAAAAGAATGAATGATTATTTTGTGCTGCTAGGTAGTGGCAGACTGGACATTTGATAAGAACATAATATAAACAGAAAGTGGGAAGAATAGCTTTTTTGTTTGTGGATGAATTTAATACACATCTGCTTTCAAAAACAAATGAAGTATTCAGTTTCTTCTCTTTTCCTAAAAGATTTTCTACCTTGTTGTTTTCCACTTTGAACTTCCTGTAGGTGGTAGCTAATAAAAATGTTTCTACTGCATTGCTTTTTCTTGAAGTATATTTATTCTACATCCTGAATGCTTTGCAAATTCTGAATTTCTAAATTCAGGACTTTTGTAAGCCTACTCGGAAGAGTAGAGGTTGATTCAGAAGAAGATTCCTCTGCCTGAATGTCTGTTTATGTTGTACTGGGTCTTAAAAGCCTTTCAACATTAAGGGGTTATGATTCTTGGTTTCCCACTGTGCAGGATGTTTTCAGGTGTGCAGAAGCAGCAGGCAATGTATACTTTTTTTTACTCTATTCAAAATGCTGCAATGTAGTCCTGTAAACTGTCCTTGCCACTCTTTGTTTATTATTGTGATTTCTGTTTTAGCATATGTGATGCTTATTTATCAAAATCGTGTAGACCTGCGTATACAAGCTTAGCTTATCATGTGCCCCGGCCTAGAATATAGGATAACCCAGTGCTTTCTGTCTGTTTTAGTTCATATTTTTGTGACAGTATGAAACATAGCCCATAGAAATAATATTTAAGTGAATCTTTTCATGTATAGTATTGATGTTGTTTAACCCCAGCTGGCAGCTAAGCACCACAGAGCAGCTCGCTCACACTGGACCAGTGGG